TGATATATGGTTGAACTTCCTCAGTGTTGTGTAAAACATACAAGTGAACTTGCTCCCATTGTGTCTTGTCTATGCTAATGAGTTTCTTCCCAATGATTCCACCCTGTTCACCTGTGGTGTCTTTTGTGTACTTTGGCAACCCAATGGCATCCACATTAGAGAGATATCCAGTACATAATTCAACTGCTTCTTCCATGATGTACCTCTCAACAATACACCCCTCGGGCCGACTTCGATTTTTTACATATCCTTTTAATACTTTCAAGTAACGCTCTACTGGGTACATCCATCTCAAATAAGCGGGGCCACACAACTTTATCTCTCTAACTAAGTGAAATGATAAATGAACCATGATGTCGAAGAACGAAGGCGGAAAATACATTTCCAGCTCGCTTAAAATCTTAGCTATTTCATGTTCTAGCTTTGGCAATTTTTTCGGGTCAATCACCTTGCTACAAATTGCCTTAAAGAAGAAACAAAATCTAGTAATCGTAGGCTCGCACCTTCTTCGGCAAAATGGATCGTATACCAACCGGCAATAAATTTTCCATGATGACATGACAATCATGAGTCTTGAGACCTACTAGTTTGAGGTCTTTCATGGATACGAGGCTACTTACATTTGAAGAATATCCTTCTGGCACTTTAACTTCATGCAAGAATTCACAGAAAGCTAATTTTTCTTTTCTAGACAAGGTGTGAGCTGCTGGAGGTAAAAAAGTGCGTTTTCCCTTCCTCTCTGGTGCCAACTCTTCTCTTAACCCCATGCTAATCAAATCCATCCTTGCATTAATTCCATCTTTACTCTTTCCTGAAATGTGGAGTAATGTGCCAACAAGACTATCGCAGACATTCTTTTCGATGTGCATTGCATCCAGGAAATGCCTAACATCTAGGGTCTTCCAGTATGGTAGCTCAAAGAATATGGACTTCTTTTTCCAACCATTCTTAACAATCTTACTTGCAAATGGTTTTCCAAATTCAATATTTAAATCTTTGACCTTTTCAAAAAGCTGCTCACCAGTTAATGGCATGGGAACTCTACCCTTCTCCGGGTGGCCATTAAAGGCCTTCTTTAGTCGTCGGTAATGATGTGTTTGCGGCAAAAATCGTCGATGACCAATAAAGACATTCTTCCTACAATGTTCCAACCGCACTGAACATGTGTGCTCCTCACATACTGGACATGCATCTCGTCCTTTGATACTGTATCCTGATAAATTGCCATAGGCAGGAAAGTCATTTATGGTGCCAAACAACATTGCTCGCAGGATGAAATGTTCTTCTCTATACCCATCATAAACTTCCACACCTGTCTCCCACAAAATCTTCAGATCTTCAATCAGAGGAGCTAAGTACACATCTATATCATTTCCTGGTTGTCGAGGCCCAGAAATCAACAATGACAGCATCATAAATTTGCGCTTCATGCACAATGCTGGAGCGAGATTGTAGATCATCAAAATAACCGGCCATGTACTATGAGTACTACTTTGCATGCCATGTGGGTTCATTCCGTCAGTGGCTAGTGCAAGGCGTAAGTTTCTATCTTCAACCCCAAACTCAGGGTATATAAGATCAAACTTTTTCCATTGAGGAGAATCTGCAGGGTGCCGTAGCTTGCCATCCTTAATTCTCTCATCAGCATGCCATGTTAAGTGTTTAGCATCTTCTGCAATGCTATATAGGCGTCTAAATCTTGGTATGATTGGAAAATACCACAATGCCTTCGCTGGGCTACATCCATTTCTTTTGTACCGTGATGCATCACATTTTGGACACTTATCTAAGGTTGAATACTCTTTCTGAAAGAGGACACAATCATTTGGACATGCATGTATCTTCTCATAGCTCATCCCAATAGAACAGAGCACTTTTTTAGCTTCGTAAGTATTAGGTGGAAGCTCGTTGTACTCAGGTAACATTTCATATAAGAGTTCAAGCAAATCTGTGAAACTCTTATCGCTCCATCCATTCGCTGCTTTTAGGTTGTATAGTTTCAAAATAACTGATAGTTTTGTGAATTTTTTACAACCGGGGTATAATGGTTTATCAGCATCACTCTTCAATCTCTCAAACATCTCAGGACAGTCTCTAAGATCCTCTTCAATCACATCAATCATTTCATCAAGACGGTCAACATCATATATCCCACTATCACGATCAAATGTTGAGTAGCTCGCACTATCCCTCCAATCACTTGCATTATTCCTTCTCTCCCCATGCATGGTCCAACAAGTATAAGTTGGATCAATCCCATTACATATTAAATGATCTTTCAATTCTATTGGCTTTACTCTTTTTCCATAGCAACATTTCAAACAAGGACATATGACTCCACGGGGGTCTTGATCACGACAAAATGCAAATTCAATGAATTCATCTACACCATCCCAATATTCTCTAGATAGTCGATTAGCCGACATCCACTTACGATCCATGTCACTAATATGATTACCAAACTTCAATAAACAAAAGACTTAAATTTCTATAAAAAAAATTCAACAGTATCTTCCTTAAAAGAATAATCTCTCAAATGATCAAACAATCAAATTTCACAACACAATATATCTAAACTAAATAAATCAATTCATCCAAATAAAAATTTAGTACCATAATGTATCTAAATTCTGTCAATCAATTGTAATTTAATTAATAACAATAATCTCCCATAAAAGTATATTTCATAAATAAAATAAAAATGTTCAAGTAGTTTCCTCAAATTTAATCAAAATTATCAACTACAAATACTCCATAATTTTAATATAAATAACTTCAATTCATATATTTTCTATAATATTTATTATTAAAAAAATATTTAAAATTTATTCTCAAATATATATAAATTAATTATTAAAAAAAATACCTTCAAAGTGTAGTCTTCACGCAGCAGCGACGTCGATTCCTCTGCTGTACAGCAGCGACGCACAGCGGCAACGGAGGTCTTCACGGCGTCCCTTCCTCCGGTGTACAGCAGCAGCACAGATCTGCAACAGCAATACAGATCTGAAACAGAGATGCAAATCGGAACAGCAAACAGCAGACAGCAAACAGCAAACAGCAGAATAGATGGATGGTGATCTGCAACAGCAATACAGATCTGGAACAGAGATGCAGATCTGGAACAGCAGAGCAGATGGAGGCGTAGCAACGGCGACGCAGAGACCAGACAGCGACGGCGCACAGATGACGCAGAGACCAGACAGGACGCGACACAGACGGATGGCGACGGCGACGCAGGGGAGGACGGTGACGGCGGCGACGACGGCGACGCAGGGGAGGACGGCGACAGCGACGACAATGCGGCACAGAAACAAAGAGAGAGGCGCGACACAGAGAAGGAATGAGAGGCAACAAAAGAGAGAGAGGTATAAAAGAAACTAAATGGAGAAAAGAAAACTGATGGATGTATATAAGAGTGGGAAGACTCTTCGGAGCGCTCTTCATCGAGCGCTTGTTCGGAGCGCTCTTCGTAGAGCACTCCGGAAGGTTTTCTTGGCTCTTCAGCGAGCGCTCCCGAAGAGCTATCTTCCGGAGCGCTTAAGTACGAGCGCTCCCGAAGGTATTTTTAAATTTTTTATCATATTATATATATATATTAATTAGGTGCGTTATCTTATTGTGAAGCCTGACATACAAGAGCGCTTATTTAGAAAAGCGCTCGGTAAATTCCGCATTCACATTTTGGGGCGCTTTTTAAATAAGCGCTCCTAAATACCCGCTCCTAAAGATATATTCTGTAGTAGTGAATGAGAGCTTTATGATGGATAATTTTTTTCTTCTCTTCAACATAACAGCCAGCACTATTCATAAATAGACAACTCTTGTGTTTTTATTTATGTTTTGATTGAAGCATTCTATTGCAGGCAGTAAGCTCAGGTTTTTTTGTACGCAAATGGAAGTGATCACCCTCCTACTTCTATAGACCTAGACAAGTCATTATTGAAAGATTTGCTATTCAATCAAAGTCCATCTAAAGCAAGTCATACTATTGAAATAAAATATCTCCTGTTTTTCTTCACTATATTGATTTTGATAAGAATAAATATAATGGAACGAGTAGAAAGAGAGGTAGAATTACAGAAATGGGGAAGATTAGAAAGATTAGATGATAAGATGCTACGTGAATGTGATAAGTCTATATGATTAGAAAGATTAACAATTGCTAGCGTACTTATCACAGTAGCCTATATGGATTGTAGGAGGATCACAGGGTTACTCTTAATGTTTATGATCTAAGTCAAGGACTTGCTTGACAGCTTTCATCAACATTTTTGGGGAAATCCATTGAGCTTGTTTGGTGAGTTCTTTGCTATGTTGGTCCAGAATTGATTGCCATAACAGACTTAGATGGCTTTGTGTTTTGCTAGCTTGAAAAATGATTTCATATGTGATAGTCGACATATGTTCTGATGAAAAAGATCTCTTGATGATGATGCCTGTGGGGTTGCTCGTCAATGCTGTGGATGTGTAATACTACTCGGACTTGACAATCTATTTAATAATAGAATGATGTCATTCTTGGAAGCATGCTGCTTGTTTTTTTGGCTTTTGTCCTGTTATTTTTTTTCCTTTGTTAAGAAATGTGGTTGGCCTTGGTGCTGCTGAGTATGTAAAATGTGAATGCGATAGCTTTATGCTATTTTTGTGATAGCTTGTTCAGGTACTAGAAAGATGGAATGACCCGGGAATTTGAGTAAAAATAAAATTTATAATAAGATGTTTTAAGAATATTAAAATTATTATTATTATTATTTTTAAAATGGAATTAATCAAAATTATTTGTGGCATAATGGTAACCTTGCTTGCTGGGCAATCTTAAGTTTTGGAGTTTGAATTTTATTGGGCAAAAATTTTGGTTTTACTTTGTTTTAAATTATAGACAAATTTCGTGCCCTTTTTTGTAATTTTCTTGTGCCATGTCCTGTAATTCACCCCAATCTTTCATTAGATCAAATCTCTGTCTCTTCTCCTTTGCCATCCGAACTCGAGAAACCATATCAGAGGCGAGAGAGAAAAATCTAGAAAGAGAACCACCGCCTCTGCTCTTCTCAAATTCCAGCGAGTCCACTGGCGTTCTTCATCTTTCCTCTTCAGTCTTTAACGTTGCCGGCTAGGTGTGTTATAGAGTGCTGTCTGCCGATGCTGCCATGAGTTTCCTCTTTCCCTGTGCTGCACCGTTTTCCCTTCGCTCTCGTTGTGCGGTGTCAACCTTCCTCCTTATTCAGCTGACAGCCATCGGTGATTGTGTCAGAGTCATGTTCGTGCGACCTCCTCCTTCCTCCTCTGTCCGAGCAGCGGCCTCGATGCGTTGGAAATCTTCCTCCCCTGTTCTGTCTGCAGCTGAAGCATCCTTCAGCAATCTCTCCCTCAGCCGCAACTTCCTTTTCGGTCCTTATTCTTTGTTCTGTGTCAACGGTGGTCTTTGGGTGTGTGTTCGTTGCTGTAGGAGGTTCGAACTGTGGTCGTCTCTTCCCCTGCACCACCATCGCTCTTCCTCTGCCTCTGTCATTGGGACTTTCATCATCACTTTCTCTTGTTTCAAGTACGTCCGACTCTCTTCCTTCCTCTGGTTTGATCGCCGCGAGTGTGTGTTTTAAATAGCTGAGATTGTGATTTATTCTTTCCTCTCTCTTTGATGGAATATTAATAATTTATGTATTTATAGTAGAGAATTTTTGAAAAATGGAATTGAAGAGGAAGAACGTAGATATTAGTTTAAGATTGATTGCTTGTAAGATGTTTGATGAAATGTAGGAGAATTTTGATTTCTCACACACACACAAGGTAACCTTGTTAGTCTCACAAGAAGCATGATTGGGCTTGGGTATCATTAATTTGTTAATCTAAATTGAGTTTTGTGAAGGATTTTATCTAGAGATTTAATGAAATTTTATATGAATTCTAGATTGTTGAGTTATATAACTTATAATTTATAAGATTTATTATCATTTTAAAAGTTATATTTGGATAATTTAAATTTGTTGGGTAAGAGAAATAAAATTTATAAATTTTTATTGAATAGTTTGGAATGTTATACAGTAGGTGTTTAAGAAATAGTTTAAGGAGAGATTATATTTTAGTGGACTATTTAATTATGGTTAAATTTTACGGAGAAACCTTTATGTGTGAATTGTATTCCAAAAATTTCAAAGTTATTATAGCTAATTTTGGTTGATTGGGTTCTATTAGAAAGAGATTTTGTTGGTTAAAAAAATAATAAAAAAAAATGCATTAAGATACTATTATATATTCTAGGGGGTTTGGAAGAAGGAAAGCTTTTTTGAAATGATAAGAAGTGAGTTTTCAACCTTGAAGGTACTACATATAAGTGAATAGTATCCTAATAACTCGTTAGCAAATTTATTTTCATAAAACCATTGGTTTAGTATTCACGTGCCCTCTCTTTTATTTACATAACTATTTTTATTCTGCAAGAACAAATAATAGAATGTTTTAATTTATTTACTTATGTATTTATTTATTTATTTTGGTTCATAATCATAATTTTCTTTTCAATTGCCATACATGAAAATGTTTTTATTATACTATGTTTTATAGAACATGTTGGATTTATCTTTCAATTGAACATTTAAAAATATATGTTATAATGGGAATGTTGAATTTATGCTTAAAGAATGGATTAACTATCATGATTCATGCATAAGATATATACATATGAATTCATTTATGCTGAACATGATGAGGAATGTTGAAAAGAGATAGTATATATTGATTTTATCGACCCATGCACGTTTGATTTAAAATATGAGATTGAATCAGAACGCTGGTTGCTAACGGTAGTACTGTTAGCCCTTGGCAAGCCATGGTATACCTAGCTAGCAGGGTACTTTGGAGGTGCTAGCCCCGTGCAACAGCCAACACATGTGAAATGGAGGGATGGTTATTCGTGAGCATTGTACTCACACTTACTTTCATGAGCCTTGTGCCTATGTTTGTTTCATGGCTTCTAGCCGTACTTGATCATTTCATGGCTTTAAGCTGTGCTTGGTTACTTATTCTCATAGATTCTATGTCCATGTTTGTATGTTATTTACCCTCATGAACTGTATATCCATGCTTGTCAATCATTCTGATAAAGTCTCGCTGAAATGAGAATTTTTATAAACTTATTGATTTTGTCGATTAAATAATTTGATATTTGATTGCATATGATTTTATAAGCTAGAACTATTCAACTTAGTTGTAAAACAAGGGTTATAACTTGAAAATTTCTTTATTATTTTTAATTTACTATGTAACTAATTGGTTTATGTATTTATATAAAACTATTTATCATACGCAACATGGTTTCATTATAATAATGGTTACTGCTTTGGGACTCATAATCTTTTTATAAATATTCCTGTTCTTTACTTTACTGAAATCTAAATTGAGATGTTATTCACTAAAAATTTATTTTGGTCTTAGATTCATTAGTCAATGCTGAACCTCTTGCTAACCTTTGAGGGGATTGTAGCTGTGCTAGGAGGAAATTTGTTAAACATTCTCTCCTTTTTTATGCAAATAAAAAACTTCTATATTTTATCTCTAAAAATGTACAGTTATGTGCTCCACATATTCTATAGTTAGGATCTTTAATTTGGTTATATATTTTGTTTGCTGGTTGGAAGGAGCTAAACTCCTGATTGTTATTATATTTCGTTTAAATATTGTGTTGTGGAGTTTTCAAGAGGCCTTACTTGTGGAGGAGATTCTACCAAAATTTCTACAAAAATAATGAAGCTTGTATTAATATGAAAACTTTTAAGGATGTTACAATTTCAATGTGAATATAATTACATTTTAAATATAGGAATTTCTTGATTTTAGGCTTAAGGGATATGTAATATAGTTCATATCCCTTATCGGTCACCCTCTGTTTTCAGAGCGTGACAATAGAAGTGGTAGACACGGTGTACCTAAATTTGATTGAGTTTTCTTAGGAAAACTTGTTTTTTTTAAGGTTTTGATGTTTAAAATCTAAAAATTATTGAAAATAAAAATAATAAGAATTCATCTGATTAAGACTAGCTTATATGATAAGAATGAAGTGAGATGTGGATAGTAATTTTACTATCTAGCTATGTGTTTAAATTAATGAGAAATTTGTGCACCGATTGAATTCCTGTTCTTTATGTAGATTATCTTCTTGTTTTTTTTTTAACTCAGCAGCAACAAATTCTTCATGATATGTTAACTGATTGTCTAGCTTTCTATATACTATCTAGCTATGCCAAGAGGGAGAGGCCGAAGAAGAATATAACGGGGTAGGGGGAGTGGCATTAGTGACAAAGTTGAAACAAATTCCACCACATTACAAAATGAAGATCCTTTAAAAGTTGTCGACTCAAACACTAGATGTGTTCTATACCTACGCATATCTAGAAATGGGGATTTGTATGTTGATGTTGATTTAAAAGTTTTGTAAGTTTTTTTTCTTTTAATTTAAACACATTTGTCTTTACATGTTGGTTCACCTCACATTGTGCAATTCGTGATATTACTAAAATAATCAAAAAATCATTTGTTGGCTCATGGCCTACTTGGACTTCAATCCCGTCTCACATTAGAGACAAATGGTTTGAATAATTAAATGTATGTTATGATATATTTTTGTTGTTCTTAAATTTGTAGATTCAATGATTGGAAAAATTTGGAAAGCTTTGGTTTTGTTAATTTGATTGTTATTATAGAGATTATATCATTAGAAAGAAAATGACAAATATATAATTAGAGGCACCTTTAAAGTGGTGGGCTTTAGAAGACTTTATGACACATTATGTAAATTGAAAGAAAAGCTTAAAGATAAAGAAGATTATATTCCCAATTAGATTAGTGCAAACCATTGGAATGAACTTAAATAACACCGGAACACTACAAAGTTCAAACAAATTGCAACCATTCATTCAAGGAATAGATTGGTGAATCCTTCTTTGCATACAGGAGGATCATGTCCTACCTATGAACATGCTTATAAATTGGTAAGGTTTGAGTCATTAAGTTGTAAAACTCTCATATTGTACCATTAATGTTTTGATTTTAAAATTATATTAATGATTATTATTTTTGTAGGAGGAAGAGAAAGGGAAGAGACCTATGCTATTTAAAGTGTACAAGGCATTATACAAGAGAAAACAAGATGATCAATGGGTTGATGACAAATTCAAAAATGCATATGTAAGTTTAATGTTAAAAATGATAATTAATTTACTTCTTCATTTATATCTACTCACTAATTAATTGAAATTTGAATTTTGCTAAATCAAGTATAAATATAACATTCAAATCCATCTATTTGGATAGCTAATTAGACAAGATGAGCAACAGAAAGATTTTCAGAATGTTGCAATGTTTGAAAATGAAGGTGGAGGCCAAGATGTAAATGTTGATGATGGTGAGTTTTGTAAGATTTGAGGCTTTTAGATGTCTTGACCTAGCTAGTTAGGGAGCTTTATTAATATAGTTGTAAACTACTTTGTCGTACTGCAAATATATCTTGTGTAATTTTTCATTGTATAACTAGATTGTTTGTAAATTGCTGGACTGATTGTATATTGTTAGATCTGTTGTTCTAGTAAAAAATTTTGGTGTATAATATTTTATAAAATTTATTTAAAAAAACACATTAGGTGGCGTTTCTTCCTCAAAGAAAAGCTACCTATCTTAATTTTTACTAAAATCCATAGAGGTGGCATTTCTTTATGGAAGAAACGCCACCTCTCTAAAGTAACATAAGTGGCGTTTTTCTGTTCTAAAAATGCCACCTATGTTATTTAAATTTAAAAAAAATATGAAATGATAGAAATGACATTTACAGATTATAGAAATGCCACCCTTGTAAGGTTTTTAATTTTTTAAAAATTGTTTCACAAAGGTGGCATTTGAATATGAAATAAATGCCACTTCTCTTAGGGTTTTTTAAAATATAAGTTAAGAGAGGTGGCGTTTGCAGAAGTAAATGCCCTTGCTCTATCATAAGTCTTGTAGTATTTTAATAATTAATGAAATACTACATGATACATATTATAGCATTGGATCTTATAGCATTTTATAAATACCATGAAACTAAAATTTTAAACACCACCAAAGCCTATTTCTATAGTAGTGTTTGTACAATTTTAACATTCTAATACCATTTACGTATTTATATATAAGTAATAATTTATGTATAACTTAACCTAATTATAATTGAAAGTAATAACCTGTGAAGATTTTAATTTATCATATTAAAATATTAGCTTAACAACATATTTCCTCCGTTAAAAAATGTAAAGCATTTTTAATTGAATCTTACCTCCAATAAAGTAGTTACCTTCTTTTAAATTAACTCTATCTTTTATATTTATCCCCAGTAAACACCTTACAAAAAATATAAAATTATTATCAATAAGGGTACTTTTAGAAAAAAGATAATGATTACATTTCAAAAGATTAAAAACGCCTTACATTTTTTAGCACCCAACTCCTCAAAAAATGCCTTACATTTTTTTAACAAAAGGAGTAACTCTTTAAAAAAAAATATGAGCTATATATGTCTAAAAAAGATTATGAATAATATAAAATTTAAAATAACTTAATAATTAAGCTTAGCACATCTTGACTATTATTTTTTTTTGTTTCACAATCCTATATATCATTTATTTCTAATTCTATACATAAAATAAGAAATTTAATTTCATAAATAATTTTTGAATGATTTTATTTAATTTCAAATTTTTAAAACAATTCATAATTTTTTTAAATTAAAATTAAAATTTTACAAAAGTTGCCTCCAAAAGGGGATTATGAAAATTTTTTTAATTTTTAAATTATTTTTTATAAAAATACTTTTATCACTGCCAAAAGTAGATTATATAAATTATTTTTTTATAAAAATGCTTTTAGTGGTGATAAATGTCACCACCAAAGTGAATTATATAAATTATTTTTAATTTTTAAATTATTTTAAAAATATTTTTGATGATGACAAATGTTGCCGCCAAAAGTGAACTTTTGGTAATGATAAATCAAAGTCGCCGACAAAAGTCTACTTTTAGCAGTGACTTTGATTTGTTATCGCTAAAAGTTTACTTTTAGCAGCGACTAAAGCGAAAAGTCATATTTTTTTAGTATATAACTAACTTTTATTAGTTTAGATGATTCAATTAAAAATATTTTATATACAGGGATAGAAAGAGTATAACATGGTGTGGAATATTAATACTTCACAATTTTCAAAGAAGTTTGGTGAAACATTAATATCTTAAAATATTTTATATTTTTTAATTATATTATCATTAAATATTTTATATAAGTTCCTATATAAGTTGGTAATCCATCAACTAAGAATATTCTCTAAAATTACAGCAAGGGGGGCAAAATTACAAGATAGGACATAAGTTGCTAAAACACTAGAGAAACGTTGACTAAAGAAAATGATAGAGAATCTTTTTTGTAAATATAATTTTTTTACTATCAATAATTTAAAGTTTAAATGAATCTATGATTAAAAAAGACAACACTATAAAATAAAAGAGATAACAATTTTCATTATTTAAATTTAGGAAAAATTAATTTTTTAATGCTTCAACTTAACTCACTTGTAATTTAATCTCTCAATTATGACTCACTGCGACTCAATCCCTCAACTATAACTCGTTGTGACTCAATCCCTCAACTTTTGATTTACCTATAACTTAGTCCTTATTTTTTAATTTTTTTTTAAAATTTCTTATCAAATAAGAGGGATAAAAAAAATGCTCATATATTATTTTAAAATATCATCCCCTTGCTCATTGATGTGAGATATAAGCTAATATGAAAAAAAATTAACAAAAGTTTAGGAACTAATTTGTAAGTGATTCAAAAGTTAAGGAATTGAGTCATCGTTGGGGGATTGAGTTACAAGTGAATTAAAAGTTGAAGGATTAAAAGATTAATTTTTCTTTAAATGTATAAATAATTAAAACTCATTCTTTACTTTCTTGTTAGATGAAGTTTTTTTTTTAAATATATGAACCAAGCGATTTAGTATAGACTTCAATGAAAACAGAGATTTATAAAGTTTAGTTTTTTAAAAATGAAAAACTATATATCATCAGTAGAATGATATGAAAACCGTAACACTACTGTCATCTTTTGTCATTCTTTCGTATAATGATAATGATGATGCCTAAAGTGAAATTTAGAGCCAAAAATTTGGGCAAGGTGGGCCCAATGCAAATAAGCCTAAACTCAAATAGGCCCGACTTCCTAATAATAAGGGTGATTAAAACCAATCCAAACTGTAAATCCCAAATTCTCAATCTTGATACTAAAATGTTAATTAAGGATAAATTAGTGAAATTAGAGAATTAATTGGATAATTAGGGTTTTGAGTAGTGGATTGGTGTTTTGACATGTCGGGGTGTTAAGTATTTAGGATCAAGTGAGAGAATGAAGATCCAATTAATTCTCTGCATGGGCAAAAAATCTCATAGCACTGGGAATGAGTTCTAACTAGTCACTTGTCGTGTAAGTTTTGTACCACCTTAAGCTCCTATTTTACACTAATTTCTTTTAGTTTAAGAGATAGAGAAATTGAATCTGAGAGTTTTAAGGGGGTTATTTTCTTACCCTTTAATACTAGAAAGATCCTTAAGAGTTAAATCAAAGTTTTGTGATTAGGTTGGAGTTAACAATTGAGCTTTAAAGCTATAAGCTCAATTTAACCTAAGACTAAGAGGATTGAAAAGAGTGACAATGATTATATGGTTATAGAGAAGTTAATAGAAGTGGTAAAAGGTGTGAAGGGAAATTATTAGGACCTAAGATGACTAAGGGGAGGTGATTAGGTAGTTAATTGTGATTAACTGTGATAATTAGAATTTATGGTCAAATTGATAGTTGACTATTAGTGCTAATTTGTATAGGTGGAAGAGATAAGTGTGCAAAAGGAAGCTAACAGAGTAAATAGTACCATGAGTAATCCTTTCTAGTAATAGAAGTGTTAAGGTAACCAGATAATTGAATCTATTTATTAGTTAAATTAACTGTTTAGAAGTAAATATCTTTGTGCTAATGTGTGTGATTTATAAACCTTAGCATGATTTGTAAACTGGCATGGTTTTTGTTTTGAAAAGAGATTTATTTTTGAGTAAAACCGTTGCAAAAGCAGATTGAAAAGTAAATTATTGGTATATATGTGTAAAAATTATATTGCATATATTTTCATTCAATTGCATTAGAGGGGTGAGAGTTTACTGGCGTTGAAGAGATAAGCGTGAAAAATCCATATGGATTAGCTATTACCAGGGGACCCACAATGCAACAATTTAAGGAATTGTACCATGAAAAATCTAGGTAGTTTGAAAACTCCTTAGTGTCCGTCAAGGTGTGGATAGGAGTCAATGACACCCCTAGCATGTATGAAGGGGGAATTTGTAGTCTAGAAGTAGGATAGAACATCTTGACTTAGTGGATCACCTATAGAAGATTGGGTGAGGACTAATTTCATGGAAATAGTTAGAGTCACCTATGAATTCAACTGGGGATGTATGGAGGATGGATGGACTTAGGATGGTCATATGTCTGTAGAAAATGGTTTGGTGAAAATGGTTATGTATATGATATTTGTACATTTTGGGATTTAAAATAAACAAAGTTATTATTACTTGTTTACAATTATTTTACCTAATAGATAGCTTTGAATTATCTTGATGATTGAGATTTTTATTTGACCCTATGGTTTATATTTTCAGATCTTCAAACTAACAGCTACAGGGGATTGAAAGGATCT